TGCCAATTCTTCTTGGACCCTCCGGCCATATCCAAGAAAAGACAGCGCCGCCGCAATGGCGCAAGTCAAGAACTGGACAGTAAAATTGGTCCAAGAAACCGCAGAAATCCCCAAATGCGGCGCCTTCCATGGCTACCCGGCAGTGCTATTCTCCCAGGGAGGCTTCTCCGGCAACCATTTCCACGATTTCACCGATCTTTTAGTCCCCATTTTCGCCGCGTCCCAGCACTTCAACGGCGACGTGCATTTTCTCGCCACAGATTACCGGAAATGGTGGACTGGCAAGTACAGGATGCTGTTGGGCCGCCTGTCCAAACATCAGGTCACCGAAATCGACAACGACAACGTTGTCCAGTGTTTTCCTAGTATCACTGTCGGCCTAAAATGCCACAAGGAGTTAGGCATCGACTCCTCAAAGTTCCCAAACAAAGTCTCCATGAAACACTTCAAGACTTTCCTCAGAACCACATTTTCCTTGCCAAGAACCCAATCCATTTCATTGGGCAATGCTGAGGATTCAGGAAGCCCGAGAAGGCCTAGATTGATGATGATATCGAGGAAGAAAACACGGATGGTGATGAACGAGGACGAAGTCCTCGAAATGGCAGAGAAACTAGGCTATGAAGTGGTGAAAGCGGAGGCGAGCATTTCGACCAATCTGTCAACATTTGCAGGGGTGGTGAATTCCTGTGATGTGCTGATGGGGGTGCATGGAGCAGGGCTAACAAACATGGTGTTCTTGCCCGATAATGGCGTCGTGATTCAGGTGATCCCATTGGGGGAAATAGATGGTTTTGGGATGAGGGATTTTGGGTACCCTTCTGCATATTTGAATGTGAAGTATTTGGAGTATAAGATTGGGGTGAATGAGAGTTCTTTGGTGGATAGTTATCCACTTGATGATGCTGTGTTTAAGGATCCACAGTCCATTCATAGGAAGGGATGGACGGTACTTAGATCAATTTACTTGGACCAACAAAATGTGAGGATTGATGTTAACAGGTTTAGAGCCACTTTAGTTCAAGCTCTTACACTTCTGCAACATTAGAGAGAGCTCAGATATGATCTTAGATTCATTGGTAGTACATATTTTTGATAATAATAATAGTCACATAATTGTAATAATGCTCCTTTATCCTCTTTCTCTTATTATATAAAATAATTCTATACAAAATTTTGGTTTGTAATTGCTTTTTTTGGGAGTTAATTTCATCTTTCAAAGTATTGTTAAAATGAGATTGGAGACATAAAGAGCTTGTTAAAATGAGATTGAAGGTTTCTGGCTGATTCAATATGTTTATAGGGAAGCAAAGAGGGTATTAGATGACCATATACATTTTGGGGTTTAATTGGTAAATAGTTGTTAGCTGATTGAGTTAATTAGTTTGACAAGTTGATAGCATTAGTTGATTGTAAAAAGATGTTTAGTAAATTAGTTATTAGCTGATTACATACAAATGGAAAATACTTGGTGTACTTCCATTTTATACTCCCAATTTGTACTCCCTCTCACATATTTTTGATGTAGACATTTTTCTGTGGACCCATATGATGAAAATAATCCATCTTAATTTGCCACCTCAGGGAATGCAAATGAGGGAGTATAATTTGAAATTGCATGTAGTAGAACTCTTAAAATATTGTACAAATAATTAAAATCGCCTCAAGTGTCATGTTAACATAATTATTGACAAGACATTAGCATCATCAATGCCATATTAGCAATTTAATGTTGGCATGTCAACTTATACATTATGTTATTAGTATTTAAAATTAATTAATTACATCACTAATATATTATATTAACATGTCAAAAATAAAGAATTGGACAATACTTGATTGTAATGATAATGAGATTTGAACTTTTTCACCTATTACGTAAATAAGGCCACCCATTACCACCGTACCCTACCAAGTACTCACCTTAGTATTTTAGTTGCAAGAATTAATTAAAGAGCATTATAAACTGAGAATTGTAGAACATTTCATTTGTATTTTTTTAAAAAAAAAGTTCCATAAAATTCAGAATAATTTGATATGTAAAACTTTTTAAATTTATGTTGATAAAAATTTAATAATGACAAATAAATTTTAAAATTTCTAAAGTATTTTGGTCTATAATATTTTTTTTTAACAATTAACACTTTTTATATTTTTTATTAATAAAATGCATGTTACTTCGGAGTATTAGTTTATCATAAACTTAACATTAATAAAAAAAAAAAATTGGACAGCTAATGTTAATTTCTTTTATTTGAACAAACTTAAGTCGCATGTACTTTTAATACAAAATTTTAAATTATTAATTGTTAAAAAAAAAACAACAAGAATAAAAAATTTAACTCTTCATAATTATTTATAATTTTTAATTTTTTATCAACATAAATTAAAAGCATTTTTATTTTATAATGATCCTTAATCATGTTTAAGTGTGGCCTTTGTTTATAACAAATCCATAAAATTTTGACGTTAATTACATTTTGTTTACATAAGTATGAGTAGGAAACTCGAACACCCAAAGAAAAATTAGTTTCTCACAACATTAATTACATATTTGTGGTATACATGTCTGTTCTACAACAAACACTATTTTGGTCAATTTTGTATTAGTATGCAATCATGTGTTAGGATAAAGAATTGAAGTAAACTCTTAAGTTTGACATTCCAACACTTATGATTTGTTATGAGGTGTAAATACCCCTAAACTATATAATTTGTCAAATAGAATGATAAAAAATTTGGAAAATGATAAAATATGATGTTGAACTAATAATTGAAAATTCTTTATGTCAAATTAATTACAATTAAGTATTAGAAAGGATAATCTAATCATAGCATGTATGTATATATTATTCCTTCTAAGAATGAATTTCCGTAGAAAAGGCCAAAAGGGCATGCAATATAATGTTCCCAGAAATGTAGAATTGAAGTCAATGTATAACCACCTAAACCTGTAGAAGTCAACGTATAACCCAGAAATTGCACAACTGGGGAGATTATGGCCCAGGGAGGCTACAGCCGGAGTATAATAACGTATTATTTTCACTACAAATTTACTACGGAGTAATTAGTCACTACGACTCTTATATATATATATATGATGATACCACCCAAAATGAACGGTAAATATTTTAAATTTATTCTGGTATTAGATACAAAGTCAATATGATTTTCACACTTTTTGACTTCGAGTTTGTATGAGAGATATGGTACCGATCTGCACCATAACCTTTTTACAATATTGATTTAGTTTTAAAAGTTATGTTTTAGTATCTTTACTTTAATTTCCAAGTATTATTTATTGTTTAGCATATAATATATATATATATATATATATATATATATATATATATATATGTGTGTGTGTGTGTGTGTGTGTGTGTGTGTGTGTGTGTGTGTGTGTGTGTTTAGTTGAGATGGATTACATGATTCAATCTGGTATCAAAACTAACATCATGCAAAAGGTGACTATGGTCAATCGTTATATCGTGCACCAGGGTGCACAATGCATTGTGCGTCCAAAAAAATTTATGTTTTATATGTATAGAATTGTATAGTAGAATATACAAAAACTCCTAACATAATACACATAAACTATTACACATATAATATACATAAACCCTTAACATAATACGCATGAACTAGTCTTAACATAATACACATAAACTCTTAATATAATACACATAAACTCTTAACATAATACACATAGACACAAAAAAATAAAATTGTAACGGGATTGAACGGACAGACACCGCGTCAACTCCCCCAACTTATAGAAACGACGTTGTTGTGCGCCCTAGTGCACGATATACTTTGCCGACTATGGTCCACATATTACTTGGAATCCGTTAAAAGTAATCGGATCCAACTATCGGTTTAGTTTTTTAATAGAGATGAAACAATGGTTCTAAAAGTGACTTAAAGTGGTACTCGTCCAAATTTGTTGAATAAAGATGCTACACCTACTCCCCAATGTTTAATTTTTATTAGATGAAATAAAAATAATGAACAAAATCATAGTCCACCACTTTTCATTAGGCAATCAAAACATGACACATAGTATGAAGTAGAAAAATAAAGTAATATATGGAAGTCCCTTTTTTTTGGATTCATATGGAAGTCCATTTAGTATTACTCAAGCTAAAACAATTGCCAAAAAAAAAAAAAAAAAAAAAAAAAAGTTAGGTAAGATGCAACCCCTATAGCGTATTGGTCGTGGGCAATGGTGGAATACGAAAAAATACTATGAAACTTTGACTCCCAAAATTTATTTTCTTTTTTTTTTTTATATTATTCTCTCACACAAATTGTTTATGTAGACATCTTTATTAAGACCTACAGAATAAAGATAACCGAATTTATCGCACTTTTGGTCCCACGACTATAATGACATTATTAATCTTGATCCACGACTTTCAAACCTTGCAATCTCGGTTCACGACTATTTTTTTTTTTTTACAAAAATGGTTATTCCGGTCCATTTTCCGTTAATTTCTCACTGGAGTAAGAACCATATCCAACAAAAATGGGCCGGAAAATTGATAGAAAATAGGTCGAAAGGACCATTTTTTGGAAAAAAAAAAAAAAAAAACAAAAACAAACAAACAAACAATAATCATGGACCGAGATTACAATGTTTGAAAGTCGTGGGTCAATTCTGATAATGCCACTATAGTCGTGGGACTGAAAGTGCAATAAACTCGAAGATAACCTATCAATGTTTGTCATGTCAATGAGTAAAAGTGATGAGAAAAATTTAGAAGTCCATGTAATAGAACTCACTGAAATACCATTATAAGAAGGATATAAAACAAATAAAGACAAAATCTAGATATGGTCATCCAATAGCCTTTTTGCTTCCCTATAAACATATTGAACCAGCCAGAAACCTCCAATCTCATTTTAACAAGCTCTTTATGCCTCCAAATGAATGATGAAACTCTAGTAAGACAATTGCACAATACTTTGGCATATGAAATTAACTCCCAAAAAAAGCAATCATAGACCAGAATTTTGTATAGAATTATTTTATATAATAAGAGAAAGAGGATAAAGGATGGAGCATTATTACAATTATGTGGCTATTATTATTATCAAAAATATGTACTACCAATGAACCTAAGATCATAGCAGAGCTCTCTCTAATGTTGCAGAAGTGTAAGAGCTTGAATCAAAGTGTCTCTAAACCTGTTAACATCAATCCTTACATTCTGTTGGTCCAAGTAAATTGATCTAAGTGCCGTCCATCCCTTCCTATGAATGGACTGTGGATCCTTAAGCACAGCATCATCAAGTGGATAACTATCCACCAAAGAACTCTCATTCACCCCAATCTTATACTCCAAATACTTCACATTCAAATCTGCAGAAGGGTACCCAAAATCCCTCATCCCAAAACCATCTATTTCCCCCAATGGAATCACCTGAATCACGACGCCATTGTCGGGCAAGAACACCATGTTTGTTAACCCTGCTCCATGCACCCCCATCATCACATCACAGGAATTCACCACCCCTGCAAATGTTGACAGATTGGTCGAAATGCTCGCCTCCGCTTTCACCACTTCATAGCCTAGTTTCTCTGCCATTTCGAGGACTTCGTCCTCGTTCATCACCATCCGTGTTTTCTTCCTCGATATCATCATCAATCTAGGCCTTCTCGGGCTTCCTGAATCCTCAGCATTGCCCAATGAAATGGATTGGGTTCTTGGCAGGGAAAATGTGGTTCTGAGGAAAGTCTTGAAGTGTTTCATGGAGACTTTGTTTGGGAACTTTGAGGAGTCGATGCCTAATTCCTTGTGGCATTTTAGGCCGACAGTCATACTAGGAAAACACTGGACAACGTTGTCGTTGTCGATTTCGGTGACCTGATGTTTGGACAGGCGGCCCAACAGCATCCTGTACTTGCCAGTCCACCATTTCCGGTAATCTGTGGCGAGAAAATGCACGTCGCCGTTGAAGTGCTGGGACGCGGCGAAAATGGGGACTAGAAGATCGGTGAAATCGTGGAAATGGTTGCCGGAGAAGCCTCCCTGGGAGAACAGCACCGCCGGGTAGCCGTGGAAGGCGCCGCATTTGGGGATTTCTGCGGTTTCTTGGACCAATTTTACTGTCCAGTTCTTGACTTGCGCCATTGCGGCGGCGCTGTCTTTTCTTGGATATGGCCGGAGGGTCCAAGAATTATTGGCAGTCCGACCAGACAGATCATCATGCGTGACGAGGAATATTGTTGATGAATTTCCCACCACTCTTATGTCCCCTTTCATCTCACAATAATCAGACCGAGCTTCCAACAAGTTGCAGATTGGCTTCACCTCCTTCTCTTCCTTTGCTGCATAACCAAGAACCCATAGATCAAATTAAAAATCAAAACATTATTGTAACACAATTTGATGATCATTAGTGTGTTATAATTACCCATTGCGCGGGGAAATGTTGTGTCGTTGAGGACAAGCAAGTCCTGTGTCGTTGCAGTGATGGATAATTGCAGGTTCATCACTTCCCCAACTGAAGCAAAAAGCAATGCAAGTGTTAAATCAGGCACTTACCACTATGTCAGAAATCATAATCAAGCGTTTACCACTATATCAAAAAAGTATAATTAGTAATAAAAACACAATTTTATTTCCTTATACATACATAACAACTGTTGGACTAGGTCCTTCAGGCCTCCGCCCAAGAATTCCTAGCCCCACAAAGCTGGACTTAACCTTTCAGAACTCCCCCAACAATCCCCTAACCATCGGCCTGGTGCTGGACTTGACCCTTCAGTACTCTGCCCAACAATCCCCTAACCACCAGCCTGGTGCTGGACTTGGCCCTTTAGACCTCCGCCCAAGAATCTCCTAGTCACCCAATGCTGGACTTAACCCTTCAGACCTCTGTCCAAAAATCCCCTAGCCACCTAGTGCTGAACTTGGCCCTTCAGATGACCTCTGCCCAACAATTTCCTAGCCAACTAGTGTTGGACTTGCCCTTTAGGCCTCCGCCCAACAACTATAAGCCAGAAGTGTGAATTGAAGCTAATCAACGAAGCAATTAACAATGAATCAATTTTCCAAGAATTAAAAGGACTTACTCATGAAGAGTGGATGAAGATGAGGCTTGAAAACCATGCAGCTACTCAAAATGATGATCAGAATCAGAACTAAACCGCCATACCCAAATCTCTTCCGTTCATTTCGACTAAAACTTTTAGCTAAAACAGGATCCTGCATTGTTGTTGTTTTTCTTTCTTGGTTCAATTCTAAACCAATTCAACTAACACTCACGTACTCAAATTCCAAAGTCAACAATCAATCGAGGAGAAGAGTGGAGAGATTATTATTCTTGTTGATGAGCATTTCTTGTTAGGTGGTAGAATGATTATATATTATTGCATGAAATGAGAAAAGTTGGACACTGTTTATAGCAAAGGAAACAAATCATTATTTGGTATTGTTTTTATGTTAAAATATTTGGGAAACGTTACAATAACACTGCTCATAATTAGGTTAATTATTAAAAAATTAAGAGTAAATTAGCATTTTTTAGGCACTATTTGGGTGGGATTCGCAAACAATTTAGGTTGGAACTTGGTCAAAGTATATATGTGGATTCCAGTTGAGGAAATAAATTTCATATAAATATATGTCCAATAATATATTCTATCTTTGTTAAAGTTTACCGAGTGTATAATTTATGTGTTCAAATTATACATGGTAAACTGTTATATCACGAAAAACGTTTCAACCTCCAAACACTTTTTAAGGAATCAAATATGATTTCAAAAAAAGAAAAAATCCTGAAACTATGCGAGAACATAATAAGGCGGCTAATCACGTTCCAAGGTACTCCAACTAAATACTTTCGGTCCTTAATATATATGTTCTATCTTTGTTAAAGTTCGCTGAGTGTATAATTTGTGTGTTCAAATTATACAGGGTAAACTGTTAATTATATCATTAAAAATGCTTCAACACTCCAAACACTTCCCAAAGAATCGAATATGATTATTAAAAAAAAAAAAAAAAAAAAACTATTCGAGAATAGAATAAGGTGGCTAATCACATTCCAAGGCACTCCGTAGATTATGGGCAGGGGTTGAAGATTCTATCAAACCCTCCCGGCCTCTCTTCTTCCAATTCTCTAAAATAATAATGTTATGATCACCAAGCTAAGTGACGTTTAATAATGAACACTTGAGCTTGTATTTTTAGTTTTCCGATATCCACCGGCCTTTTTCATTTATTTACAAACAAAAAAAAAAAACAAATGTGACACATCCATTATTTTTCCTCTCAATTGTGCCTATAATTGGTACAATAATTTAAAATTTAAATATTTTTCAACAAAAATTATTCCCATAAGTATGTGTTGACATGATAAAAAAAAAAAAATCTCATAAAATTATGTGGTGTTGTTAATTTTAATTAACAATATAATATAATCATTAGCTTGCCATGTTTTTCCGCTTAGGATGGGAACATGTCAACTAATTGCTAAAATTTTCATCAAATCACAAATTCGTAACATGGTTTAGGTAACCCTACAAAGTGAGTGTGGTGTATATATATATAATAATATTCAATTATATTGTAAGTAATTGAAAAAAGTTGTGTACCTGACATAACTCACCTTTTCTTGCCAAATGCGTGCAAAACAAATTAATTTTTTTTTTAACTAATTAAGATATATATGTATGTATACCTTTCATACCGACAACAATAAACCACAAGAAAACCAAAAATTTTGTCAATTCATATGCACACTGAAACATACCCACCACTCTCAATTTAATGGTTTTCAAATTTCTAATATCTACTCTATGTCTAAACATGTCTGTACGTGTGAATTTAAATTCAGGAAATGTCTACATTATCGATCGATACTAATATCTTTTGCACAGGATATAATTTTAAAAATTTTAGAACTTGTACCGAGTACAAAAAAGATATTATAGAAACAATATATGCACACAGTGATTTAGAAAGTTTTATTTTTTATTTGCGTTGAATAAAATTACCATTCTGCTCTTAAAACTTCCGCTAATTAAAACAGAATTTTGTTTTACCAAATTAATGTCTTATATTTCATTAATCACCAACTTGATTTGCTCATCTTTCCAATTTATTAAAGAATCTTCTCCATATAAGTGTGTAATTAATTATGACATAATTATTAATTTCATTCCATGTGTAATTATTAACTTTTTTGGTATTATTCTTCCAACAGGCTGAACCCCAACCCTAAGGGCCCACCACATCTCGATCCGACAGAGCATTTGGGAGGATGTAAATCATGGTAACTCAACTGAACATGAACCACAGGGGCTAGACCTTTGCTCACTGCGCACAAGGAACCCCCCTCACTTTGAGAGGTTGCTCCCACACTGCCTCTGATTTTTTGGTATTATTGACTCTATTACAAGGTAGTATCTGTTTTATATTTTTTTTATCTGTTGCAGCTCAAAAAATCAATATCCTGCCACCGGATTCGATCCTGTGACCTTCTCTCAAAGAGAGTCACAAAGGTGTCATATGAGCACAAGGTGCATAATTAATACGGAGTAACTTATAAATTTGAATTACTTCTTTCCAATATAAATAAACAATTGTACTAATAATTATTTTCGTATCATAATTCATAAATATTAGTCATTAATTACTCCAGTTAAAAAAGTCATAATTTGATATTCGAAAATTTGTACCTTTCCTGTAAAGTTCCATATAGAATTTTTATTATCCATAAATATTTGTATTTTATAATTTTAATGATTTGTCCTTCAAAAAATAATTTTAATGATTTGAAAAGAGACAGGAAGCTAAGAACTAAACATTTGAAAATGTTCAAAAAAACGAACTAAACATTTGAAAATGTTCACCCAAAAAAAAAAAAAAACGATGGATTCTAATTTCAAACACTAATATTGTTTTTAATGATATAGGAAGAAGAATAATAATAATTAAGAAACAGTGTATATATACTTACTGTTTTTTTAGTTTAATATTTTTGTAGTACCAAATTAGGTATTAACGAATTAAATTTGACAAGAAATATTACTCTGATCTTCTATACAATGATGGGAAACTACTCCTTTAGAACAAAAGCAGATCAGAGCATGAAATGATGAAATAGATGTTTGTTGTCACCTGCTCTCATATTAGCCTCTAAGAGGTTGTTGGTACGTTGAAATGGTAATTTTAAACAATGAAATTATAACTAATTTCTATAAATTATTTAACAGCGGCATGATTTAATTGATTCTCTCCTTTACTAATTTATTTGGAAAATTTTATATTGTAATTGGGAATTGTCTCAATTTACCAAAAAAAAAAAAAAAACCCAACAAATCTTGATTTATGTTTCATTAAAATAAGTGTAATTTTAATCCTTAAATTATACTCCTTAACTAAATAGCAATTTTAACCTTTACTTGTTCAATGTGAACACATATAGGTCTTGTTTGGTAAATAGATGTTAGTTGATTGGATTAGTGGGTTTGACTAGTTGATAATATTAGTTGATTGTAGAAAAGTGTTTGATAAATTAGATGTTAGTTGATAGCTGATTACATGCAAAATGATTTTTTCAAAAAATTTATCGAAAAACTGCTTTGAGCGGATTTTTTGAATTTTAGCATTTTGGATCAATAAGGTGTTATTTTTTAGAGGCAATAAGTTGTTATAAAAAGTTAATTAATCAAAAATTCATATTGATTGTTTAGCCAAGTCTAACCGCTAACCGTGGTTAATAAAGCAAAAATTAGCTGATAAGCTAACTATGCGCCTTATCTCCTAGTTTTTAACCATAGAGCAAAAGCAATTATTTATGCTGATATTGAATAACTAAGAAGTAAAATCGATTTTTTACCATAACTTAAGTCTAAAACTTCATTATTTCCTATATATTATGTATTTCTTTTGTAGGTTTTGTGGAGGAAAGCCTTGCTGACAAAACATAAATGAATGTATGTATATATTATGCTGTGAGAATCCCTTATGATGTCTTGTAGGTTTTGGAGAGGTTGTGTCCAACAAATGAACATGAATTTCATTTGTAATAAACTTGGATCATGATATCATTATGTGGTAGCATGTAACATCATCATGAGTTATTTTGAAATTATGTGTGTTGAATATATAATATATAAATATATAAATATATAATATTCATCAACTTATATTTTTAGTTGAGACATAATACATTCTTCAATTTGGTATCAGAACCAGCTTATGCAAAATGTCAACTTTTTAGTTAAAACATAACACATTCTTCAATTAGTATACATTATATTTAGATGTTTCATTCTCATGGAAAGAACAAGTAGAACTCTGCCTTACCTATGTTGTCTATAACTGATTGGCTCAAACTAATAAGTCACTCCTGTTGGAAGTCAAACTTGTAACATTTTGGTTACCAAGTCAACAATCTGACCAACTTGAATGATCGATCATTGTGTGATTTTTGAGGATTATGTCCAAAGTGGGCGATCCCTTATGCGCACCGACATTTGACCTTGTCTGCTGAGCTATTGAGTCACCGTGATTAACATTCTCTCAAATGCTCTGTCAAGCCGGAGTGTGGAGGGGGGGGGGTGGAGCTTAGGGTTGGGGATTCAACCTTTTGGGAGAAGAAGAAAAGGTAAAATCCATTAAATATGCACAAGAATATTTGCACTTGTTGAAATTGAAAGGGAGAAGCTTTTCCATTAGGAAGGTGGCGTGATTTCATCATATAACGTATAAATGTTGCACACCATCCATCAATGAATCAAATATTAATTGATTTCTTAAATAAATCACTAAAAATCATCTGAAAACGAAAGATTCTAAACCATGAAAAAACGAACATGTACAAAGAAAAGGAAATAAAGTATTATTAATGGAAGAGTGAAGACGTGTGATCACGATTTGTAGGCTATTTCAATTGTCAATATTTCTACTTTGGCCGTATATTTTATATTTCAATTCTAACATAGTAACATCCCTGACACTCACTCTTTGAATAAATAAACCATTACGATTGAATGAATACACACCAAAAGAAAAGTTATAGACCAAAGCACTCCATTGCACCATTTTTGTAGGTATCATATTAAACATGGTAACAAATGACAAGAATCACAACAAAAACAGACATTTATACATGTAAAATGAGTGTTTGGTAAATAGATGTTAGTAAATTTGGATAATTAATAACATTAACTGATTATAGAAAAGTATTTGATAAATTAACTGTTAGCTGATTACATGTAAAATGACTTTTTCAAAAAAATGATCGGTTGCTTTGAGCAACTTTGTGAATTTTAACATTTTGAAACAATAAACTGTTACAAAAAGCTAATTAATCAAACACTACTCATATTGATTAGCTAATAGTGGTTAAATAAGCCAAAATTGACTAGTAAGCTAATTATGTTACCAAACCGGGCCAAAATGTCAACCAAAAAAAAAAAAAAAAAAAAAAAAAAAAAAAATTGTTCATAAAACATGCGTGCTCATGCACTTGTATATATAAGTTAAACAACACAACATTCTCAACATGACTCAAAAAAGCCTTAAACCCACAATCTACTTGAAATTATGCAGCTGCTTCAGTAAACTGCAGCGTGTGATCATATATGCTAACAGTATACACGAAAAACATTGCAGTCTCGTATCTTCATATCAAAAGATAGGCAAGCAGATTATGCTCTGCTTGGGTAAACTGGCATGTGTGATAATTGTCGAGCTGTAACACATTTCATAGAACTACTGTTATTACCTTAGCAGAATGAAACGAGTCTTTTCTGAGCAAAAATTAGAGCAGTTTGTCATAAACCCTTTCTTTGGCACATGGAAAACTTCAAATCAAGTCTACACCGTAACAGGCTATACCTGAGAGATTACGAAAATTTTATGCAGTGTCACCTATGGTAGGAAACTTTGCCCACAGCAACAGTTTTCCCTGAAGAATAAGGTTCCACGGATGATAAACAGTAAGAAGAAAATGAATGTTATAGGTAACAGAAAAGACTAAGGATAAGTTCCAAACCCTCTGTGCGAAGAGTGAATCTTCCAAGCTGGGAAAAATCAGAGAATTTCTCAACACATATCAGATTATTCACCTGGGAAGGTAAAAGCACCAAATTAATAACAAAAGGAGAAAATAAAGCAATTGGGATTGGAATTTAGGTATAAGTCTTTCAGGAAGATTGAGCTATTTCATTACAAAACATTATTGCGTGCAGAATATATTAGTTGGAAGTATCCATGTAAAAAGAGAGTTGAGAGCTGAATTTAGATAATTAAAAACCCAACCTGAAGACTCGTCAAAAAAAAAAAAAACCAACCTGAAGACGACACACAACAAAAGCACCATTCTTTACAAAAAGTGGTTTCTTTTTCATAGGTTTCTTTGTTTTTGGATCAATTTGCTGCACTAACTCTACAATTTCACATTCCTCAACAACTGAGTGAATGTGCAAAACAGCCTTGTAACCAGCAGTAAAAATTGCCTGAAATATATAACAGTTGTTGAATTTCACACAGAAGTGCCGAGCAAATTAACCCAATCACAAAATAAGGCATTAAGAGAACAATAATATAACAATGAAAGGTTCAATTCATACATTATCCAGCAACTCAAGGATTGACAACTGAGCAACGAATTCAGTAACAGCAGGTACTGGCTTTACTGCATCGAAAGAAAAGTATTAGACATCTAAGACAATTGAAATTTGATAAGTCATTCACACAGAATTATAGGTATAGAAATAATAATAATTCAAATGCAACCCAAAGATTCATTCCAAATTTGGTCTCTCTAATGTTATGTTTTTACACTTTTGCTCCTTGAGTTAAAAATTTAGTTCTCAAATGGGCAGTTACCTCACAAAAATACTATATACTACATTCTTCACAATCACAATAAAGGGCCATACTATTCCTTCGCTATATGAAAAATAAATATAAATGTAGGTTAAGTATAGAAAAATAATTGAATGGTATTATTACCAACACTGCATAAAACAAAACCCGATAAGATATCCTCTTCCTCAACCCCAGATACTCTGACTCGTAAGTTTTCCCCAGGCCCTGCTTGTCGAACTCTGTCTTCATCAATGAATATGGCAAGAACTTTAACAGGAGCCTAACAACAAGCAAAGGACATGAGAGTTATTGAAATAGTACTCTTACATAAGTTTTCAAAAATTCCACCCCAAAAAAATCTTTAAAAAGTAAAGGTTCATGAGAAGCACCTTATTAGGCATCACCAACAAATTGTCTCCCTCACGTATGCTACCAGATTCTACTTTTCCCATAACAACTGTTCCCATATCCTTAAATTTATCAATAATAGGCATTCTACAAAACCATACAGCCAAAGTTAGACAAAACCTCTTTGACCAAATAAGAAAGAGGTATGAAAACTATCACAAGCCAAAACAATACACAATACACAAAATAATTATATGCAGATTAGATGAATAAAAGCATACTGATAAGCATTCTATCCGACACTAGGAAGAACAAACATTTACATACAGATTATACAAATAAAAGCATGCTGTACCTAAAAGGACCTTTAGGATCACGAGGTGGGACTTCAACCGCATCAAGAGCTTCAAATAGACAGGGACCATTCCACCATGGACAAACACTTTTATCCAATCTTGTTTTCAAATTTGAACCCAAGAGCCCAGATATGGGAAGAAACTGAACATCTATAAATCCAAAAAAAATAAAAAATTAAAGTAGCAATTGTAGTGATAAATTTTGCATTAATGTATCTATGCAAATCTATTCTTACACAATTCAAAGGCAAGTTATTTACACGCAAACAGAATAAAATAAGGAGAAATCAGAGTTTGCACAGTCATGATTCCCTACCAGATCACTATATAAGGTCCCCAAAAATTCAAAATCACATCTATCTCAACAACAAAAAACTGAAAAGTGAGTATGCAATATAAAAAGAATAGACATTTTACTACAAAAACTAACATAAATGAAAAAGTTTAATATAGGGAAAATTGCACTTTTTCCCCCTGAATTATAGGCTTATAGCATTGTTATTCATGTATCCACATTTACCCCCTCAATTATTTTAATTTTTAAAAGTGGCAGTTTTTCCCCGTTGATGTTAAATGGACATTTTTACCCTTAAAAATAATTATTTCATTTATTTTTCTTCAACAAATTATTACTTATACGTAGGGATGACTACTATTCGATTTGAACCGAACTAGACACTAGCAACTGAACTGAAATAGTAGAGATGGTTCTTGTTATGATTCAGAACCGAAAAAAAATAAAATAAAATAATTGTTGAATTTAGACTATTTTAAAAATAGAAAATAGAATTTACAAAAATAAATAAATAAATTTTGAACTGGTGGTTCAAACCGAAATTGGAATCATAATAAATGCGAACCAAACCGAACAGATTTGTAAACACCATTTGTAAATGATAAATCTGTTCGGTTCCGGTTTGCATTTATTCTGATTCCAGTTTCAGTTTGAACCGCCGGTTCAAAAATTATTTATTTATTTTTGTAAATTCTTTTTTCTATTTCAAAATAGTTTAAATTCAACAATTATCATCGGGGGGGGGGGGGGCGGAACTGCCACTTTGAAAATAATTGAGGGGACAAATGTGGATACATGGATACATGAACAGGGAAAAAAGTGTTATAAGCCTATAATTCCGGGGAGGGGGAGGGGGGGGGGGGGGGTGAAGTGCCATTTTCCCTTTAATATATTGAAGAACATGAATACGAAATGATTTGGCTAGTGAACGGAAATAATCATTACTCAAATAAGGAGATACAAGACTTAAAATCTCTAGGCACTTCATCTGCAAGTCAACCATTTGTTCACTTACCTTTCTTCACATTATATCCGGATGACTTCAAAAAAGGTATCATTTTTCCCTCAATTTCATCATACCTGAAACGATATAACTCCATAAAGGGAATGGGAAAAATCAATGTTAAAATTAACACTGAAAGACACTACAAAGGAACACCTTTCTTTTGACCAGTTGACAGTGGGTTCATCCATTTTATTGACAACAATGAGGAGCTTTGTAACTCCAAGAGTCTTTGCAAGTTGAACATGCTCACGTGTTTGTCCACCTCTTTCATATCCAGTTTCAAACTCACCCTTCCTTGCAGATATCACCTGGATTGCAAGGCAAAATAAAAATCAGGTAAAACTACTTTCATAAAATGGACATGAACCATTCAAGCTGAATAGGGAGTTTCTTTAATCATTACATACAATGAAACTATCTTACCAGTACACCAATATCAGCTTGAGATGCTCCACTAATCATATTGGGAACATAGCTCTTGTGTCCCTGGAGGACAAGCAATTGGAAATGTTGGGGTCCATGTAAAGCAGGGGTTGAAAGGTAGAAAACATATAACTAGCAAATAATGACCATAAAAGAGAAGATTCCAAAATCTTCAACATTAATTAGTACCCAACACTCTAGAGAAAAGATTAGATCTTTATTTTGACCACTTCAAAAAGTATGCACCTAAAGAGAAAGTAAAGCAGATAAACTACTGCTGTCTGCAGTTTACCGGGGCATCCAAAATTGTGAATCTTGTAGTTTCGGTTTCAAAATGTGCCCTTCCAACTTCAACAGTAATACCCTGCACATCAAGTTACCCAAAATTACCAGTGGGGAACCGAAGATTTAGGAAACTACGTGATTAAAGTACTGGGTTAAACGAACAATTAAACATGATGAATTTTTTTAAGGTGGAATTATCATCATACCTTAACTCTCTCTTCTTCATTTGTGTCCATAATATATGCCATATACCTAATACAGTCAAATCCAAAAACAAAAAGGAACAATGGCATAAGTGAATACACTTAAGCTTGCAAAATGAAACTGTCAACCTTTCTTCAAGTAAAAAGAAAAAACTGAAGTGGGGCATAAACATAAAATGCAAATCATCTCAAACCTTAAGCATTTGGGATCAACTAGAAAAGATAGAAAACATCAAAGACATTAGAAAACAAATCATCAAAATGCAAACTGACATTTCAAAGCAATGTAATTGCAACATGAGAACATGACCAAGTAGTCAGTAAAGGCCAAGTTGACATAGGATTGCCACCTATTCTCAGTTTCTCATTTGTAAGTTGTTATTGTTGCAAACCAGACAAGCAAATGACAATGCTTTCAAACCTCTGATATTAAAAGAGGCAAAATCTGCAAGCTCAACACCTCAACTTGAGAATCTAAAATTTTAGAAGAGAAGTCTAGAACAAATGTAATAACTTGTGAATCACAATACAATAATGTGGAGGTGTCTTTTTCATGATATATAAATCCAAAATTATCAGAAGCAATCTGTAATTCATTAAGAGGACTCCTACCTTTATTCATTAAGACGTAATGGCTACCTATCCAAAACACTATTTACATTACAAGCAGCTAATGGCTACATCCTAAAATCAAGTTAACTATGCAAAAAGTTGGGAGCTAGTGCATCAATGATACAATATTGAGAGAGGCCTAGAAACTGGATGAAGTGAAACAAAACTTTCCATAAAAACCTCCATCCATTAGAGGATTGATAAGAACCATTAATACAATAATTTAGCCAAGTAGAACAGAAAAATCAAGCAAGATTTACCAGCTCTCTCTACTTTTATCCTTAGCTTCTTTCTCATACTTCTGGATTGTACGCTCATCTACTTGTCCACTAAGGAACAGTATCTGCCCTCCAATAGTTGACTTCCCAGCATCTATAGGCATCACGAAAGAGAAAGGTAAAGAACTAATTACAAGTGACAAGAGAATGCCAAATATTAGCTTGTATCTTACAAGTTACAATTTACAAATTTACCTATATATGTCCAAAGAATTTTACTGCAAAGATGTTTATATAACAATAAGTATCTTGAAAATTACCACAAAAAAATATACATGTGGTGAACTTACCAAGCATTTAATACCATGCATATCATAATCCATAAAGATAGAAATTGCATAATCACTTTATTATTGTAATAACCAGATGTTCATTAAGACAGAAGTAGCATTTTCCTTCAATTATCAACTTGATAAACGAAAATGATCACCTAGAAGATTACAAAATATGTATACACACCCACATGTAAACAAGGGAAACAATTCCTTACCAACATGTCCTATGAATACAACATTCAGATGTCGTTTTTTGTTGATTTCCTCCTTATCATTAGCATCATCTATAGCTGGGTTTTTCTTTTCTTTTTCTGTAAAGAATATGAAATTTGATGAGCATATTGAAGTCAAGAACAATATTTAATGCTAGAACAGACTGATACATGTTGAAACAATCTACCACAAAATTTTGCACCGAGGTGATAGTAAACGCATGGACAATGTTACAAAACCAGTGAGGAAATTAGACACAGTGTATTGTGTGGTAACTAATAAGAGAAGCTAGCGGCGTATTCGGATCATCCGAACACAACATATCCGAATTAAATTTGGTTCGGTCACGGGGTATTGGGTGTCAAAAACATCACCCAAAATAAATTCGGGTATCACCCGAACCAACGCCCACACCTAAGAGAAGCATTTAGGGGTGTCCACTTCAGCCACAAGTTGATTATTGAGCTTAAGATATCCTTTCCATGATAAGCAAGAGAATGTACACTATCAATGTGGATTTTAAATTCTTAAGCTACGAAGAAAGATGAGACATGGCTTTTTTTTTTGTAAAGCCTTTGTAACCTCATCTTGGTGCCTTTTTGCAAATAAAATATCTTACCCATAAAACTAAATACTCCATATTAAACAAAACCAAGGTTATTTAGAAAGAGATGGACAGAACAATTGTAATCCCATGCCAAGAGTGTGCACTTCCCCCACCAAACCAGGCAATCACACTGCTCCCTAACAGATATGGAGCACAGATATCTGAATGAACACTGAGCAGAAAGACCTAAATCAATCACAGACCTTCTGTAAAGCCTTTATGCTCAATATGCACTGGTTCTGAGTTTGCTTGTGACTCATTCTTAACATCTATAACACAAAGAATGTAAACATATTACAACACCCTTCATATGGATAGCAAATAAAATATCACTAAGAGCATTACTTTCTTCCAGAACACACGGAAGCTACAAATTAATGCCTTCAGTTGAGAAAAAAAAAATCTAAAAATCTAAAAATAATAATAATAACAATAAATCACAATGATAAAATCCTAAAAGTTCAATGAGAGGATGACTGCTAGAATTCTTGTGTTATCTGGGTTCCTCCACTTAGAAGGATGGTGATACCTATAAAGAAAAGAACATGATAGTCTCTTCATTCTTTTTCCATAAAATAAAAAAAGACTACCACCTAATTCTACTTTGTAAGAATAGATATATAATAATTTTGAAAATGTATGTGGCATATCATATTCAAGTTCATCTAGCCCACTTAGAAGAAGAGTTTTACGATATATATTCCATAGACTACATCAATTTGGTCAGAGAAATGATTCTCCATTGACCATAAACAATTCTGATTTTCCCCTAATCATACTCTCACCTCCCCAGTCCCACCCCCACTTTTTTCTCCCACCATACAGATGCCTAGGTGAGAGCCATGTGTTGTATTCTTTCACTTTTGAAGATCATCTTGAAAAACATACAAAAAAAGTTTAGTAGTGAACAAGGTTATCAAGGCGGACTTTCTAGGCGAGATGCCACCAACTGCCTAGTCGACTAGTCGACTAGGCGACCACCTAGGCGATGACTAGGCGATGAGTATTAAATAAATAAAATATATAAAATATATACATATATATTGAAAATATCTTGTCTTGGGCAGCCTATTTACTTCAAGCTGCCTTTAGTAGATGAATAGTTTTTCCTAGAATAATGAGAAGTTTAGTATTTATTGTATATATTGGAAATATCTTGTCTTGGGAAGCCTTTTTGAACCCTATTTACTTCAGTCATCTTTGAGAAGATGAATAGTTTTTCCTAGAGTAGTGAGAAGTTAGTATTTATTGATAACATGTCAGGGTGAGGTAGTGGGCTTTGCTCAGAACAGGAGGACGACGCCGGAGCTCGAACCGCGCCGCCATCGGAGCCTCCACGCGCCGCCGCCGTGCCGCTGCTCCGACGCCACGCGCCGGAGCGTGAGGCAGATTCCGGCGTCTTCTCCGGCTGAAAATTACACCGGTCAACTCGCCTTAGTGTGTAGGTTCTGCCCATGTATGTTTTGTGGGGTTTTGGGTTGTATTTTGCACTTAGGCGAGGCGAGCGGTCTAGGCGCAAGGCTGTGACCGCCCAGACGCCTAGGCGGCGCCTAGGCGACGCCTAGATAACCCTGGTAGTGAACCCTATGACAATTCAAAATTCAAAGATTAAAGCATTGATGTATCTATTTAATTGAAAGGAGAATATGTTAAAAGATAACAAGAGATTTGTTACTAATAAAAAGAAACTTCATACAAATAGTAATATTATACCAACTTCTGGATGTTATGAACTTATCTCCCATGAATTTTGATGTGAATAGTTTGACTTGATAAGGCCAAGTTCACTAATAAGAGATTAAAAGCACCAACCTTCATTTCTAATGTGGTCAAGTCACATGTACAGCTCATCACTTCCTTGGGTTCTTTATCATTAACCTAGTAGCATGCTAAACAGCAAAAAAAAAAAAAAAATAAAAAAAAAATAATTGCATGCAGAACTATCACTTTGACAAAGAGACAATTATGTGCCACTGTTTACTAATTAAGTAATGTGAATAAAATTCAGGAAAAAAACAATCAAGTAGAGGAAAAAATATTAAGTCTGTCCATACAAAGTTACAACATCACAACTAATCCAATAATCATAGCTACATCAAGACTACCAAGAGAAGCAGAGCCCTGAAGAATTTCAACCAAAATGTATATTAGGGAATCATTGGCCAAAAAAATATCAGCAATACCTACTTCGTCAGTTTCGTCAGGTTTTACAACTTCATCAGGTTTCCCATCATCAGCATTAGCCATATGAGTATCTTCTACTTCAAGTCAGCCACAGAGGAAAGAAACGGTACAATAAAATACACATTCAGAATCACAATCTTTGACGACTATCTAATTCTAAAGTAAATATTAACTAGGTACAGTTGAATCCAAAACTACCAATATCTCAAAATAATATTAGTAATTTTCATATTTACTGCTGGGTATAAAATAGACTGATGATATTAGTGATGGAGTTATACCAGATGAATCAAGCTGAAGCGCCTTGATATCCTCTTCAATATCTAAAATTGGAAGCAACATAACAAAAAGGTTATTGACATTACTCCATAAAATATCTGAATAAAAATTCGAGATGTAGTTTGAAAACTATGGAGTAGCAAAATTAACAGACAATATAACTACTCCACAATCCACATACATGATAATTGATACAACCTGTACCCACGATCATATGAATAAAGTTTTCAGATTTTTACACACAATAAGCATCCACATGTTCGGATTCATATATACCAATCCGCAAGCATAATAGATGTACAACCCCATGCATATTTTATATTTTCAAATAATTAGAAGAATACTTAACCATATATAAAAAATAAAAAAATATCAGCAGATCATTTGCACTTCCAGGCATTCCAGTCCGATCTTTGCAATTAAAATTCAGCATCAAATCCAAAAAACAGATAAAAATTGCAAGCAAATTAAGAAGTTAAAATAAGAAACCTATAACTTAATTAGCACACAAATAATTAATAAATCTGATGAGAATTAGATCCCCGTACCCATAGTTAGCTATTTGGAGGGAGTGCACGGGTTTTTTCGCGTGGGAAAGGGGAGTAGAGAGGCGAGGGATGGCCGGTTGGCTAAGTTTTTTGCCTTTACTTGGAAACGATGAATGAAATATCGGTTATACTTGCTTATTAGAAATGTTACAAATTATAGGAAAATACTACATGTACTCTTATTCTATATTTTCAACTTTTACTTGCAGTCCCACACTTAAAATATTGATATAGACACTTTTATAGAGGTCACATGAAGATAATAACTTATCAGCCACATTAAGGAATAAATTTGAAAGAGTAAGATTTGAAGGTACATATAGTAGAACTCCAAATTATAATGGTTTCTAGTTTTACTTGCCCAATGTTTGTATTAAAATAAATAATTTAAAGTACATTAATATAATATCAAAAATTATATAAGATAAATTTACAGATGCGGTTTGGAATTTTAAGTTTCCAGATATTATTCCACTTAGCCGCGTCGATTGTCTTCGGGATATCCATAGCAGTCGCATAAGTTGTGCTTACAAAAAACTGACCATGGGCCTCTTTACTCCAAACAATTCGATCATCTGCATAAGGGTCTTCGTTGAGAACAACGGTGGCAAGCCTGCTCAAGATTCTGGCTAGAAGAAAACAATCGAGCATTTCCCAGTACCAGCCCTCACCCGGATTCCAATAATTAGCCACAGAATTGCTTAGAACAGAGGGGGCAATTTGTCCAGTAGCAACATCAAGCAAAGGAGAATCATCCAACCATACATCTAACCAAAATCGAATAGACCTATCGTTGCCTACATGCCATTTGATGCCACCTTGCAGAATGGGTAGGGCTTTGAGAATCCCCCTCCAAACGTTAGAGCTGCTACATTTCGGTTGCCATGTGGAAAGGTCGGCAGGTACAATTCTATATTTAGCTTTGAGGATTTTGACCCAAAGACAATCTTCCTCATGAAAGAGTCTCCACGCAAGTTTGGCTAGAAAAGCTAGGTTCATATGCTTGAGACTCTTGATACCCAAACCACCATTAGCTTTAGACTCAGCCACCACATCCCATTTAACCAAGTGACATCTTCTTTCGCCCTCCTTACTGCCCCAAATGAAGCCTCGGATACGTTTTTCAATAGCATCAACCACTCCTGCTGGTAGCAAAGTAGATTGCATAGTGTAATACGGGATGGCCGACAGAACAGATTGGGCCAATATGTGTCGACCAGCAAGCGAGAGAGACCTGGATTTCCAACCTGCAAGCCTTGTTTGAATCCTGTCGAGCATGCTACTGAAGGATTCCTTGTTTATCCTGCCATGAATTGAAGGTAGTCCCAGGTGCCTACCCAAATCCAAGACTTTAGGAATGCCCAAAGCTTCCTCTATGCTTTGCTGAATTGCAGAATCTGTGTTTTTTTAGAAGAACAGGGAAGACTTTTGTAGACTAATGCTTTGGCCGGAACTTGAGCAAAAGATATCGAGGCATCGCTTCATCTCCAAGGCCTGACTGATAGTAGCCTCCCCAAAAAATATCAAGTCATCTGCAAAAAATAAGTGCATCGTATTAGGAGCATCATGAGATAGTTTCACACCTTTCCACTGACCACAATTGACAGAGTTTGCAACAATATGACTCAATCTTTCAATACACAGCACAAATAAGAGGGGGGAAATGGGATCTCCCTGTCTGATTCCCCTTTCCAGGGTGAACCAATCAGCTTGGTGGCCATTCCATAGGACCGTAAGCCGTGAGGTTGAGACGCAATGCAAAATGTTTCTGACCCATATCTGGTTAAGCCCGAGATCCTGCAGAGTATCTTCTATAAAGTTCCAGGATAATTTGTCGTAGGCCTTCTCGAGATCAACCTTTAGGACCATCCATCCCATTATTCCTTTCTTGTTAGCTAAGGAATGCAATAGCTCCTGATAAGGTAGAGTATTGTCCGTGATCTGCCGGCCATGGATGAAGCTTGTTTGATGAGGACCTACAAGTTTCTTGGAAATGGCTTTGAGACGCAACGACATGATCTTGGTGATCAACTTGTAGACAACATTACAAAGACCAATGGGCCGAAACTGATTAATGTACTCCGGTTTATGCACCTTTGGAATAAGAGAGATAAAAGTGTCGTTGCAACCGGGAGGAAGAATGTCAGTCTCGAAAAAATTCCTAACAAAATAGTGAAGGGATTCGCTAACAGTAGGCCAAGCCTTTTGGTAGAAGTCAACTGTAAACCCATCTGGACCTGGTGCTTTGCAAGGTGTCATCTCAAATAAGGATGTTTTGACATCTTCCAAGGCAATGGGAGCATAGACCGGGGCCCAGTCACCATCAGTGAGGGGAGGGAAGAGACCATGCTGTAGATTGTGGACATTGGCCCTGTTGTTCTCTGAAAAAAGAGCCCTAAAGTAGTCCCGGACATGCTTCCTGATTGGGTCCACCTCCGATATTACTGTACCACCCTCATCTTTCAAACAATCGACTCTAGACTGGTTTCTCTGGATTGAGGTTGCCGTTTGATAGAACCGAGTGTTTCGATCCCCAGACTTGATCCACTCCTCCCTAGATCTCTGAAACCGCATAAGTTCTTGGTAGAGCGTTTCCTCGAGTTCTTTGCGTAATCTGCGTTCCAATCTAATCAAATCCGACCTTACTGATGATGATAGGCTTCGCTAAACACCATCCAATCTTGCTAACAGTCGTTGCTTCCTCCGGAATACATTACCAGAGGTAGTTTTATTCCACATGGTGAGAACCTGAGCCATTGTTGCTGTGTTCGTGTTCAAGTCCAACTCTTTTTTCCAGGTTGATTGTACACAGGCCTGGAAAGTACGGTGCGTTGTCCATGCCATGTTAAACTTAAATCTATTGATGACAGTCTGTTGGGTAACTTCGGATGTGGAAATAAGCAGTGGCGATTGATCAGAACCAATCATGGGAAGACGAGAAACACTAGCGTCAGAGAACCGAAGTCTCCATTCAACATTGCTTAAGGCGCGATCCAAACGAGCTCCTTTAAAAGACAGAGTGTCAGCCCCTCTCATCCGGGGGTAAGTCGAGCCCGAGTAGCCAAGATCCACCAAACCTTCCCTGTAAATCCAGTTATTAAAAGCTGCACATCTGGAAGAGGAGAAGGAATCTGGGTTGCTAACTTCACTTTAATCAGTAACGGAATTGAAATCGCCGACCGCTAGCCAAGATCCATAGGCCTCGAAGAATTGTCCTGATAAGTCCATAAACAGCCTCCTCCTTAAGGCCAAATTAGGACTACCATAAACTGCAGACATAAGCCAAGGCACAGACTCATTCTCGTGCACCTGAAACGAAACAAATTGAGGATGAGTGTATAAAATCTGAACTGAGAGTGATTCCTTCCATAACAACCAAATACCCCCCCCCCCCCCCCCCGAAAACCCCACAGCTTCTACCCTACACCAATTGTTAAAACCAAAAAAAGAACAAATTTCATTGGCCTGCACCCCCGAGACCTTAGGTTCAAAGAGGCAGACCAACGAAGGTTTATGAAAAGACAAAAATTGTTTAAGGGTGCGCCTGAACAATGCCGAGGCCGCACCCTGGCAATTCCAAGACAAAATAATTATAAAAAAAAAATATAAAAAAAGAGCAGAAAAACCAGAAACGCGTCTATGGACGCAGGCTAAACTCTGCTTCACAATCCACAGGGTCAAAACGACCATCATCCTCCTGCATATCCTCGACTTGGTGCGCTTCTGGCTCCGAGGCATTAGCAATATCAGGAGGAATTTCCTTGAAAGTGTTTTCAAAATCTGCGAGCATGGGGGAGACCTGGTGGTCATCCATCTGATAGACTGTGTGAGAGATGACATTCATTCCCCCATTAGAGCCTCTGAGCACAATATGCTCCTGCTCTGCCGCCGCCCTGTTAGGAAGATAGCCTCTACCACCTCTGCCCCTGAGAGCTCCCCGGGAAGGTGGAGGCTCCGGCGGTCTAGGGATCACCTCGGGTTCTCTTGGTACAACGCTTTGATGTCTTCCGCAATAGGTCGTCCTGATTCTTGGTATATTCCTTTGGCTCTTGAGACATGATAGAATCATGACAAACCGGAATCGTAGAAAACGCGGTTTCACTGATGATGAAAACTGTTGCCATTGCAGAACGGTTGTTGAGGACGCTGACCATATCCTAAGATTCTGCCCAGTTGCGGAGGAAGTTTGGAAAGCTACGCTGCCTCAGCTGCATGAAAGATTGTGTCACCTGTCACTCGTTGAATGGCTTGATGAAGGTTTGAAGGCAAAGGGTATTGGAAGAAGGCCATGTAACAACAACTCCACCTTCACTATTATCTTGTAGTAGCTGTGGAAGTGGCGGAACGAGGCCATCTTCAGAGGCTCTTTCATATCGCTGAAGTCTAAAGCTTCTTTAATTACATCTCAATCTGATGAGATTAATCGTACCTTTGCAAGGTCGAAAGGCTCGCAGCCTACGGATAATCTGTCATGGAAGATGCTTTGCTGGATTAAACCCCTTGATGGTATTCTCAAGCTAAATATTTACGGAGTCGTTGCCACTCACTCACACTATGCAAGTTGTGGTGGTGTATTTAGGGACTCAACGGGTGCTTGGAAGATGGGCTTCTTGGTTAAGCTAGGTATTTGCTCCCCCCTAAAGCTGAAGCATGTGCAATTCTAAAAGGTATCCAATTCGCTACTGCTCAAGGCATCAAGAGGATTCTCATTGAAAGTGACTCGAAGGAGGCTGTTGGTTTTCTTTGCAGCTCTAGACTTTCTGTTATTGTTGCACGCCTGCACATAACATCCTTATAGCATGTAGACTGGAGCCTCAGCACTTTGATTACTGACAGATCACATCCGTCTTCTGGGAACAGAACTGCGTAGCAGACGCCCTGGCTAAGATGACCATCAACCATGACTTCGGTCTTCTTTCTTTAACTGATTCCCCAGATGGGATTAGCAGGTCTTTGGAGGATGATATGTTAAGCCTTCCCTCTTGGCGAAATGTATATATCTCTGTGTAAACTGTGCTCTTAGTTGAGTGTTCCCCTTCCTACCTTTATAAAATATAAGATAAATTTATTATAATTGACATTAAAATTAATATTTAATTTACATTTTTCTAAAAATATT